AGCTACCGTGAGTGGCTGGCAGTTGGCGTGAGTGGCTGGCAGCCCTGAGAGCTTCCAAGAGCCGCCGTGAGTGGCTGTCTAGTCTTCAGTGACCGATCTGCCTCACCTGGGAAGAGCACAATAATAATACCAACATGGGCCAGTGAAGCAACGTCCTCCACAACTAGATTAAAGAAAAGGACAGCAACTTGTCTGTTCCCCTCCCCCAATTCCCTAATAAAATCTTTAAAAATAAATAAAATAAAATGGGCCAGCAATACAGCTGGGCACAGAAAAATGAAAACAGTGATATAATAAAACAAATGTTGGAAGCATTTGAACAAATCTTCTGAATGCATTTATCCTAAGTATAAGTGTAAGTGCAGTATAAGAGAAACAAGTAATTAGTTTGTTCTGTCATCTATAGACTCCTGACATTACTGGTTTCCTAAAATTAGCTGAGAGCATCTAAAACTGCTATATTTAATGTATAGCAATTATTAAATATAATTTGGCAATGCAGAACAGTAGAAGGAACACTCAATTGGAAATCAGAATACCTGGGACACTGTAGCTGTGTGACTTTGGACTAGTCATTTAAAAGTTCTCTAGGCTTTAGTTTCCTCAATATAAAAGAATGGATTGGACTGGTTGACTTTTAAAAGGCATTCAAGGGCTGGCCGAGTGGCGCGATGGTTAAGGACTGGCTTGGGACGCCAGAGGGCCCCGGTTCGGATCCCACATATGAGGGCCAGTGACACTGCCCTCTACAGCTAAGATGCTGAACAACAGCTCAACCTGAAGCTGGGCTGCCGTGAGTCGCCTGTGACGGCATAGGCTGCAGCCCCTGTGGCAGTGGGTTGCCATGGGCTACCGTGTGTAGCCAGCAGCCAGCGTGAGCGGGCAGCAGTCGCAGTGAGCGGCTGTCCAGAAGCCGGCGACTGATCTGCCTCACCCGGGAAGAGCTCAATGATGGTGCCAACTTGGGCCACTGAAGCGACATCCTCCACAACTAGACTGAAGAAAAACCGACAGCAACTTATCTGTTCCCCTTTCCCCAATTCCCCAGCACTGTTCCCTCCCCCCAATTCCCCAATAAAAATAGTCTTAAAAAATAAAAGGCATTCAACTAAGTAAATCTAGAACTAAGTTTTAACACTTCACTGGTGGTATTTTTCATTCTCAGATTTTTATTTATTTTTTTATTTTATTTTATTTTTTTAGATTTTTTATTGGGGAATTGGGGGTGAACAGCGCTGGGGAATCAGGGAAGTGGAACACACAAGTTGCTCTCCTTTTGTTCTTTAATCTAGTTGTGGAGGACGTTGCTTCACTGGCCCATGTTGGTATTATCATTGTGCTCTTCCAGGGTGAGGCAGATCAGTCGCGAGCACTGGACGGCCACTCACGGCGGCTCTTGGAAGCTCTCAGGGCTGCCAGCTGGCTCACGCCAGCTGCCAGCCACTCACGGTAGCATGGCAGCCCACTGCAGCAGAGGCTGCAGCCCACGCTGTCGCAGGCAACTTACAGCTTCCCAGCTCCAGGTCGAGCTCTTGCTCACCATTTTAGCTGTAGAGGGCGCAGTGACAGTGGCCCACATGTGGGATCCAAACTGGGGCCCTGCTGCTCAGAGCTGGTGTCCCAAGCCAACTCCTAACCAACACGCCACTCAGCCGGCCCCATTCTCAGATTTTTAAAGAAACTATGTACTAAGATATAAAATTTGGATTTCAACCAGAAAATCAGATTTTGGAGTTTGAAATATAGAGCTTAAAAAATGTGAAAACAGGGGTCAGCCAGGTGGCACAGATGGCTAGACCCTGAGCAACAGGTCACCAGTTTGATTCCCACATGGTCAAGTGAACTGCGCCTGAGCTGAGCTGCCACTGAGCTGTCAACAGGCAGCCAAATGGCTCAGCTGGTGACAGCACGTGCTCCTAACAACAAGGTTGCCTATTCAACTCCCACATAGGATGGTGGGCTATGCCCACCTGCAACTAAGATTGAACACGGCACCTTGAGCTGAGGAGTTGCTCATCTGTGCTCTTAACAACAAGGTTACCAGTTCAACTCCCGTGTGGAATGGTGGGCTATGCTCCCTCCCTCCCCCTCACCAACTAGATTGAAAGTGGTAATTGGGCTTGGAGCTGAGCTTGTGCCCTCCACAACTAAGATTGAAGGACAACATGACTTGGAGCTGATGGGTCCTGGGAAAACACAATGTTCCCCTTCCCCAATTCCCCAATAAAATCTTAAAAAAATATATATATCTGAAAGCAAATATATAAATACATGTGATACGTACACGTATATATTTTTCTCAATACCAAAAAAATTGCAGTATAAAAATATTTGACTTAATCCTTTAAAGTCTGTTGTAATTAACACTTGCCATATATATGAATATAGATAACCATTTCCACTGTTAAAATGATCACTTTCTGGGAGCTTATAAATGTTAACAACTGCTTATTACAACTATTTTCCCAAGCATAGCTCCCTGTACAATTATATACAACATGAATATGGTAATTTACTCAATTCTCTGTACAATACAAACTTTATATTTAGCATCATGCTAATATTGAAATTCGTTCCCCATATGTAGTGTAAATATTTGATAGAGGGAAAACCTATGAATAAAGACATTGAATTCTGGTCTTCTGGCCAATTCCACCTTTATCTCTGCCCTCCTCCCCACATCTCAAGGCTCCCTTTCTGCAAAAAAAAAGAATCTTGCTTAGGTTTTCCCAATCACATATATTTCTAACTCCCTAATCTTACATTTACCGGCTCTGTAATCTTTGGCAACTTCTTTAATTTTTTAATCTTCAGTTTTTTTGTCTTTAACACTGAAGTATTAGTAGCAGCTGAAGAACAGAGTGCTGTGAAAATAAAATGAGATAATATGCCTGACACATTAATAATCACCCAACAAATGTTAGCTATTATGCTTATAATTATGATTATTACTGACTTAAGAATGTTTAGTGATATTTATTTTGAGTACTAAAAAAGACTATTTAAATTATGAACTTACCCATGAATTTTCACCCCGTTTCTATTCTTTTATCTCTTCTGAGAAATGTAGTATGTGTTTTACTGATGCGGCATAGTCAACTATTAATACTATGTAAACTCCTCAGGGACAGAACCTTGTTTCATAAGCCTGTGTTCATATATTGTGCTTATTACACTGTAATTATTTGTTTTTCTATTACTCTCCTTCCTCAGCTCTGAGTAATTTCAAGGCAGAAAGCAAGGCTTACTTGTATTTGTATCCTGAAGGCTTAGTAATCAGATACAAAATAGGTCTCAATAAATGTTTGTTGAATGGATAAATGAATGAATTAATCTTTTCCCCCTTGCAATGTCTTACACACAGTACTCTACACATAACAGGAACTCAGTAAAGCTCGTTCATGGATTCATGCAGAAATCTTTTGGACTCAACCACGTAAATATTGCCTCAAAAAAAGCACTTTAAAGTTTAGCTACTAACATTACAAATGAAAAAGTTTTAGTCCAACACATATCAGATAAATAGGTTCAAGGACTAACCACATCAAAGCTAGCTCTAGGATTTAAAAGCCTTTATTCTAATTAATGAATTTGTGAACCTCAACATGGAAAAATCCAGTTACATAATCAAAGAGAGGTTAGCCCTTACACATTTATACTTACAAAAGACAGTGAGAAAAATTATCAGAAAGCTGTATCTGTAGATTGAAAGGGATAAATTATTTGTATGCCTGAATTGACGCCATTGTTTTCGCTAGAAATAAGATTTTGAGCAAAGTAGTCCAAACCTGCCTCCAGAAGACACTCCTACAGTCTCGGACTAAACGTTTTGCTCTCTCGGTGATTTTAACTCCTGGGAGACTCCTTTTATTTCCAGGTTGACAGGTATTCAAAACTTGTTTGGTCTCCTAAAATAAAACCTAATCCATTTCTTAAGAGGCAAATAACCTAAACAGGCACACTTTGGGAACACTAGGTTTTATATTCAAGTAACTAAAGCTATCCCTAGTGTTCAGCCTTTTGCGGCTGCTGCAATAAAAACGCTTTTCTTAGTTTTTAAGTTACGTTCGTGGAAGGTTTAAGTGTCGTACTGCACGGTCTTTCACTGTATCATCTAAGCTGATTTTACACTGCATGTATAATGTCCTAAGTCCACTGTAAAGCAATTCTACAATTGAATGAATCTGGCAAGAAACGTGATCTCAGCGCACACACCCCCTTCTTCCAACTCAATACGCTCCAGAGGAAGCACCTCTGAGGGTTGTTGTTTTTTTTTTTTCCTCAAACATTTCACTCCCGCTTCCACACCACACTTTATTTTAGAACAGCAATCATTCATTATCCCACTCAGTCTCTCCGCCGAAAGAACCTTCCCAACTAATATTAGCTCACCAGGAACCTCCTTTCACATCTCAAAGTCCGTGGGGGATTTCTTTGGGAGGTAGTGGAGGCGGCGAAGGTCCGGGACGCCACCATTCCCGCCAAGCCATTTAGGACGCAGGTCCTGGCGCGCCTCAAGCCCGGGACTAGCCTCAGGCGGGGCCCGCGGGAGCTGCGACGGTCTGAGACACACACGCATCCCCGCCAGTGCAAAGCAAATCGGGCCCAACCTCCGTGCTCCCATTCAATACACCCTCCTCCTAGCTGTACCCCATTTCTTACCACTTATTCCTCGCTGGAGTCCGGTCCCTTTAACCAGTTCTGAGTCCCCGTAACCCTCTTCCTCCCACCACACACAGGCTTCCCCACTCGGGGCCCTGCCCCTTGAACCCCACTACACCCCGGTCCCTCCCCCTAGACCTCCCAGCAGCTCCAGCCCTCCCCGCGTGCCCTAGTGCAGACCGGCGCTCAGTCCCCAGACCCACTGGACCCGGGTCCTTCCCCACACGCCACACTCGAGCCCATTCCTCCCGTGACCCGACCCTCCCGGACCCCTCTCTGGGCGCCACCCCTGCACCCCGTTACCTCCAGCCCCGCCCCCCTGAGGGTGTCGCACTCACCGCTCTTGCCGCCGCATCCTTAACCGCCGCGGCTGCTATAGCTACAGGGAGCCAAGGCAACCAGCTCTCGCGACACTTTCCCCCGCGAGAACAGTCGAGGAGAACATCACGCAAGAAAGTAAATGAGTCAGGCTCCAGACGGCTAAGTATCTCGCGATAGTATTGTGTAAGATGGCGGCTGCAGGGCGTTTCAGGGGTGGCCTGGAAAGGTCTAGAGGTAGGCGACAGCGAGGAAGGTTCTTGAGCTGGCCTGAGGGTCGGAAGACTAGTGCAGCCAGGACGGTCTGGGCTGAGGGATGTCAGTGCAGCGGACCCGACGCTAAAATAACTAGGGATGTGGCCTTCTCTTTTCCCAAGTGCCTCAAACTTAGAGCAGTGTCGCCTTTAGCTTTTGTTTTCCCGTCATTTTCCTTCTGCATGCGGAGTAGAGATGAAGCGAGCAAGCCAGAAATTGACCTTCCCATGTCCCCATTCCTTCCTTCAGGAGGTTTTCATCTTTTTTTCCCCTACGCTGGTTTGCAAATGGTATTTGATTCCGCAGAAATGTTTATTATGTTTATCCACTGGTGCCACACCCCCATCAGTTAGCCCGACTCAAATAGGAAATACGTACAAGTTTGTTTTTGAAATCCAACACAAGCACAGGTGTTTGGATGCGGAAAGGGACCGCACTGGTGTGTGCTTTGAACTTTGCACTTGTTTGCTGCCCAGTGGACACATCCTTATTACTTAGTGACTCTCTCAACACTTAATTGTAGCGCTTGCTCTCTCTGCTCTCATACAACTGTAAATGCAGACTGAGTAACATCTGGAACAGAAGGTAGACTTAAGGTTGGTCAACAAGGAAGAGTAAAACAGAGGGGAGCAAATAAAGGAATAGAAATAGTAAATGGAGAATTTATTTCCTTCTCTCAAAGCCCCTGAATAGCTCTCATAGTAAAATGCTGTCAAGTAGAAATATATTGCAAAGCGCATTATGGGATTTAAAATTTTGAGTATCCACATTTTTTAAAAGAAATAGAAAATTGTACTTAATTTTTAACCCAAAATATCATTTGAACATGTAATCAATATCTTTAAATTATTGATATTTTATATTCTTTTTTCCATACTAAGTTTTCAAAATCCAGTGTTTATATATACAGAGCATCTCAATTCGGACTAGGCTCATTTTAAGAGCTTAATAGCCACGTGTGACTAGTGACTGCACTATTGGACAGCAAAGCTCTGACCCTAGACGAGGGAATGAGTTATCTGGGTGATGTTAGGGTCACAGTATTATGGGCATGTGGTTTATGTAAAAGAAACCCTTGAAGTTGCTAACTCAGATGGCTACAGAGGCTAGGCAAGTAACAATAAAAGATGGCCTGAAGAAAGGATGTTTTAACACAAGAATAATATCCAGGCAAACAGATAGCAAAGCTTAAGGATTAGACTGGATTTCTGGCCAGATCCTGTGCAAGTGTGCACTTTAATGCATAAACCACATTTAATGCATTGAGACTTCTGATAATAATTTGACTCTCAAGTGGACTTTCATACTAAGAAAATAATTTTACAGGGCTGGCCGAGTGGTGCATTGGTTAAGAGTTGGCTTGGGACACCAGCTCTAAGCAGCAGGGCCCCAGTTCAGATCCCACATGAGGGCCAGTGATGCTGCGCCCTCTACAACTGAGATGGTGAACAACAGCTCGACCTGGAGCTGGGCTGCCATGAGTCACCAGCAACAGTGTAGGCTGCAGCCCCTGCTGCAATTGGCTGCCGTGAGGTACCGTGTGTGGCTGGCAACCAGTGTGAGTGGCTGGCAGCCACCGTGAGCTGCCATGAGCCACTGTGAGTGGCCGTCCAATGGCCGGTAAGTGACTGCCTCACCTGGGAAGAGCACAATGATAATACCAACATGGGCCAGTAAAGCGACATCCTCCACAACTAGACTGAAGAACAAAAAAAGGACAGCAACTTGTCTGTTCCCCTCCCCCAATTCCCCAATAAAATCTTTTTAAAAAGAGAGAGAGAAAATTTCACAACCAGCCTGGGCTCCCTGTAAATTAATAAACTTACATCATGATTTTTTGTTATGTTTAAGATTTCAGACATTCAGAGCTTGGAAAACTAAGTTTCTAGGTTTTCAGAGCTGTTGACTAGCAGATGCTGTACTTTTTGTTTTTAACCCCAACTTTAAGAGTACTCATTTAGGGCTGGCCTAGTGGCGCATTGGTTAAGAGCTGGCTTGGGACGCCAGAGGGCCCCGGTTCGGATCCTACATATGAGGGCCAGTGACACTGCCCTCTACAGCTAAGATGCTGAACAACAGCTCAACCTGGAGCTGGGCTGCTGTGGGTTGCCGGTGACGGTGTAGGCTGCAGTCCCCTGCTGCAGTCCCCTGCTGCAGTCCCCTGCTGCAGTCCCTTGCTGCAGTGGGCTGCCATAAGCTACCATGTGTAGCTGGCAGCCAGCGTGAGCGACCAGTAGCCGCCATGAGCAGCCGCCATGAGCGGCCGTCCAGAGGCCAGCGACTGATCTGCCTCACCCGGGAAGAGTGCAATGACGGTGCCAGCTTGGGCCAGTAAAGCAACATCCTCCACAACTAGACTGAAGAACAAAACAACAGCTACTTGTCTGTTCCCTTTCCCCCAATTCCCCAGCGCTGTTCCCCTCACCCAACCCCCCAATAAAATCTTTAAAAAAAAAAAAAGTACTCATTTAATAAGTATTTTATGATTGTGAAATCTCTTTGTCACATTAGTTGTTACTTGCCTTTGTGCCTCTGATGCCTGCCCTAGTAAGTACCTGGTATATAGAAGGCACTCAATAAACATTTGTTAAAGAAATATAGTCCGTAACTTTTGGGGAGGGCTCACAGACTTTTAAACATGAGAATCAGATGAAAGCTATGAACCCTTATCCAGATCCTGTCTGTGCCCTAATCATATTTCCTTAGCCCACCTCAAAGTTCACTCCAGCTTTGGTAGACAGATCTTGCACAAGCCCATAGCTTCCTACCTCAGACACCTTTGTCTGGAATTGCCAGCAGAGTTAACCTTCCTGGTAGCAATCCACAATCCATGAGAGATAGGATTTGGTGGCTAAATATTCCCGTTCCCTACCCTTTCGGGGCAATTCTGAGGTATGATCTGTAGTGTTTCTCAAAATTTACTAACACATAAGAATCCCTTGGAGAGCTTAATAAGCCACAGATTCTTGAGTTTGTACTTTTAACAAAGCTCCCAGAAGATAATGCTGCTGCCAGTCCATGGACCACACTTTGAATAGTATTTCTCTCAGAGTCCCCAAAGGGATTCAGCCCCAATTGCTCAACGCACCTTTATTGGCTTTCTTCTCCCTTACACTGCTTGGATCCTGAGATCGCCTCCCAAGTTAACTACTTGCATTCCAAATCTTTATTTCAGGGTCTGTTTGGGGGGAAATCCAAACTATGACAACACTCTCCTTAGAAAAATGCACGTAGAAGTAGAGTTTTGTGTACAAGTTCACAGAACGTGTGAACCTCCTGATATTTAGTTTGTAAAGGAACATGACCAGGATAAATATCATGGATCCAAGATCCATGAAAATTGAATCAGTCTATGCAGAGTCTAGCAAATTAATATAATCTTTAATGGCTTGAGAAGTTAGCTGACTTCATCCAGCTCTCAGAATTTATTTTCCCACAACCTACTGAATTATCTTTTTATTCTTCCTGGTCTGCATCACCTCTTACTTTGTAGAACATAGGAGGAGTAAGCCTGCGATTCTAAAGAAACCTCATGCTTGAAATCACTAAAAAGGGTAATGTTGTTCATTCCTATTGGGCTCTCGTGCTTTCTTCCCAATCACGGTGCCCCTATGACCTTTAGATCTTTTGTCCTTGTGTTTGTACAGAGCCAGGCCTATTGTAACTACAGCTGGTTTCTCCCACTTCCCTCTGGATTCCAACATGGCTCCCTACTCTATCTCATCCTTTTGGGAATCTGTAACCTTTGACATATATTCCTAAACCCACTCTGATGTCATCTGGAAACTTTATGGCATTTCTAGTTCTGTGATAATTGCATAATCCTGAGTATCCCAATTTCTAATCAGCTACATAAAGAGAATTAACAGCAGGGTCACCAACACCTATTTCCTAACCACAGCACACAATAACTTCTTAGTTGTGCCCACGTATGGACTAGTCCATGTGTCTGTGAGAGATTATTTGTCTTATGTTACTATTGAATAAGAATGTCTTTGTATACACCTATGAATGTGGTTTCATGGGTGTGGATGTGGGTGTGGGTGTGTAAGTAGCCAGAGCTCAGGTCTGGTCTTGAAGCTTGAATAATGAATGTTTAGTATTTGACTTTAATTAGTCTCTGTGCATTGTTAGCCTCAGTTGTCGTCTGCCCGCAAATATCAGAGGAAGAATGAGTTCATTTCCTTGAAGTTTATTGACTGTTACCGGTGGCAGAGCAAATTCCATAAAAGAGCAGTTTCCGTACAGAGAAAGTGGAAGGGGAGCTCTGAGCTGGTGAGGAAGGATGCCTGGAGTGGGAACTTAGAGTGAAGGATGGAAAGGCAGATTTCTCCCTCCTTTTTCCCTCCATTTCCAAAAGGATACTAGATTTACAGTGGGGGTATCTTGCTCAGTTTCCCTCTCCAAATTGGAACCAGAGAGGGGACACTTGATGCAAAGTAGAGGAGGAAACACCTCACAACTCCTCTGTTTCTCCATCCAAGGGGATGCCAATATCCACGTTGTAGTCTACAGGCTCCCCGGAGCTCAGCCAAGGAATAGGGGTTCGATTGAAAGAAGGCCTGTTGGAGAGGCTCTGGTTGTAGAGGACCAGGGGTTCATTCAGCAAGGGTCCCAGGTCAAACTTGGGCATCTGGAAGGTCATTCGTTTGGATGCCTTCTCATATCCACCATAAGGCATTGCCGTCCTGAAAAGGGGACACATTATTTCATTAAAAACCAGAACAAAAGGAGCCGAGCTTTATCAGCAAGATATTACTCTGTTTTGAAGATGGGGAGTCTGTGAATTCTAGATTGAGATTGCTTCTCACTCCTTCTTCCTCTTCTCGCTTAGCACTCCATTTTCCTCTTCCTGGCGTCCTTGTTTCCCCAAAGGTAATAATGAGAAAAGGAGTCTCATTGGTACTAGATAGCCTCATGAGCAGATGTGGCCCAGACCAGCATTTTAGAAAATGTGACCCCCAAACTCTATAGACCCAAGGGTCTGAGGCTACCTTAAATTACATTGTAGAACCCCTGCCCCAGCTCCAGTGGATAGTACATGGCCTAAATGAGAGGAATACCATTTCCTGGGAAATCCAGATGCCTTAGGACCAAATGCAAAAGCCCTCCTCTAGCACTTGCCTATCTTGCTTTCACACAGATATACAGTCTAGAGGAGCCCAATTCCAAAAGAACAGATACTCAAACCTTCCCAAAGTAGGGTATCAAGGACAAGCATCAGACTGCAAGAAGAGTAATGACCTTGAAAGAAGGGAGCCTCAAGAGTCCTTTAAATGTGTAATATCTTACTCCATTTCACAGTCAAGGCAACCAAGGCTCAGAAATAGGGTGACTTTCCCACGTCAACACAGCTAATAAGTGGCCTACAAACTAAAATTTAAATCCTGCCTCCCAGTAAATTTTCTTTCATCATACAATGCTGTTTCTCTGAGCTAGACTGAAAAGAGCAAAGGCCTTCAATTCGGGTCCCCATATTCCTCCCATGCCTCCTCAGCCTCCTTCCGAAACAAATGAACCCAAGTCTCCATCCCAATTAAGGACACGTTAGCACACACTGGGATGCATCTGGTTCCTTCCCCATCACTCCTACCTGTTGAAGGACTTATATTGAGGGAGTTCAGCTTTGGCCCCATAGGCCAGCAGGTCAATTCCAAGTTCCACTTTTTGCTGGGGGTCAACCCCCATGGCTTTCTCCCATGGGGAAATATAGGTCTTGAACACAGTGATATGTTTTCCTCCTCCACCTGCCTGGTCTCCTAGCAGCCATGGAAGAGAAAAGTAAGTCAAACAATAGCAGTTAATAGCCAGTGGAAGTTAGTCTAATACCCCTGCACTAGGGAAGTTGCTGGGTCCAGGGACCAAAGGTATAGAATCCTGGTAATTGTATGTTTGTAGAATAATGGCAGCCTGAGGTCAGATCTGTGACTGAAATTGAAAAGCCAGAGACGTGACTGAAAGACAAGGCTTCTGGGTGAAACAGACACATTTTTCTATTCTCCTGGACCCATGGGGTCCTCCAAAATATCTCAGGCCTCCCATGCTCCCAACACCCAATCTAGGCCTCATTCCTGGGGATATCACTGCTCTAGGGACCAGACATTAATTACTCTTGGGTGAGGATACTTGCCTGTTCCTGTATCGCCAGCCCCTGCTGTGCCAGCAGTTCCTCCTCTGCCAGTCTGGCCTCCCGGACCACCTGTACCTTCAGATCCAGACCCAGGGCCCTGATGGTGCTGCTGATTGGAGCCATACTGTCCAGCAGAGCCACTTCCTCTTGCCTGGCCTCCACCGCTGCCCTTGCTGTAGGAGAATCCCTGACCAGCTGTGTCCAGCTGTCCCCCCACTGTGGGAAGGAACTTCTGGAAGTGATCCTGAAAAGGACAGAGTTAGGGGAAGTTTACCAGTGGGCATGGGGAATACACAAAGACACAGGTATGTATAGCAAGGGGGATGTGATCAGAGACAATGGCCAACCAGAAGACACTGAATCCTCTAAGATTCTCCCCTCCAATAGATGGATAGTAGATAGCCTGACTGCGAGAAATTAAACTCTCCTTAAGGGGTTGGAACCCCCAATGGTTCAGTTCCTCCAATTACACCTGAGGATGAGAGCAACTCATTCTCCACACTCTCCTTTCCCATCCTTACCAAGGCGAAGAGGACCAAGACTTCTGCTCAACTAAAATTTGAGAGGATTGGCATGGAGAGCTTAGCCTTCATTTGAAGAACTAGAGCGCTCTCTGCCCCCTCCCCCCTATTCATCTAGTCCAACAGACAGAACTGTTTCTCTCTCCCTCTTTTTCTCCCCCTCTTTTCTCCGTGCCTGTTGGACCAGGACTCCTTGACAGTGAAACTGTGGTGGGAGGGGGAAGGGTGGCCAAAAGGGCAACACTGAATTCAGCCCCAAGGCCTAAAAATAACCCCACCAACTCCTTCAGGAGGATCTCCTGGCCACCCACCAAGCACAAGCCTGTGCTCCACCCAGTGTAACCAGACCCAGGCAGGAAGGAGGGCTTTTGGTCTCCTAAAGTTAGATATAACCAGTTCAGCATTTTCACTCTGCTTCTACATAAGGGCCAATGACTGACACTTCTGCCCCTGGCCCCATATAGGCATCTATTTCCACTTTCCCCTGGCTGCCCAGGGAAGGTGGAGGGGAAATAAAGGAAAGGGAGAAGAGCCTCTCTGCGTCAGCTATAACATCTTGTGCCTGGCCTCTCTCCAATCCCTACTTCTCTTTCTTTAAAGGATCCTGACCAGGGAATGTAGGCTCTTCGAGGATGGTTTCAGTTCCCACATCTGGGGTCCTTGGATAAAAGAATGGCTGAAGAAGGAGATGACTGTAAATATTCATGTAATTCTTTCTAGGGTTGCCAGATTTAGCAATAAAATTACAGGACACCAGTTAAATCTGAATCTCACATATACAACAAATACTTTTTTAGTATAACTATGCTACAAATATTGCATGGGACATATTTATATACTAGAGTATCCATTGTATATCTGAAATCCAAATTTTACTGAATGTCCAGTTTTGTTTCGTTTTTAGCTGAGCCATCCTGCCACCTGTTGACAGCTCAGTGGCTGCTCAGCTCGGGCCAGGACTCAAACCACTGTTGCTCAGAGCTCAAACTCTTGAGCGAGCTCTTAACCAACTGAGCCACTCGGCCGGCCCTGAATGTCCAGTATTTTAAAATTTAATTCAATTTAATTTTTATGCCCCAAATATTTTGTGGGACATACTTATACTTAAAAAGTATTCATCGGGTATCTAAAATTTAAGTGCCTTGGAGTTTTTTTGTTGTTGTCTTCTGGTTTTTTTATGTCCAAAATATCACATTGGACATACTTTACTAAAAAATTATTTGTGTGTATCTCAACTTTAAAATACAGGGCTGGACTTCCTGTGTTTTATCTGGAAATCCTATCTTTAACCACTTACCCATACTGAGAAGGAATTTTCTCCCTGAGGGCTTGGTTCCCTCCCTCCCACTTCACTGGCTCTAACATAGAGACTGTTTCATAGGTGGGCTGTAACTCACCCTGGAGCTGTTGAGGGCTTGTTATATCCGGGGGTTTAACAAGCTATACATTTGCAGAGGGGAGGTTGGTGATATTTTGGAGATTCAGAGCCTACCAAGAAGTTATCCTAAGGAGCACAAGGCTTTGAGAGTAGTAAAGTCCCAAACTCACCATTGAACTGTCAGAGAAGACATCAGGATGATTTTCATAGATAAATTTCTCCACCCGCATCTGCCGCAGTTTGAACATCTTGGAGCCCCGGTTCGTGAGCAGTGACAGCTCCTCCAACATCACATCCCGTGGGACACTGATCTTCTTGCCCAGGTTCAGGCCTGAGCTCTCCTGTCCACCTTTCAGGGAGGTGGGAGGAAGAGGCAAGGGAAAGGGGAAAGTGGGGTTTTCTGGGCTTAGAATGCAGATGCCACCACAACTAAGTAAGTGTGTGTGTCTCAGGAGAGACCACCGAGGGAAACAGATGCTGTCTGTGATGTCTGATCTAATTCTGTCTAGTTTGTGAGGGATTTTGGTTTCTTGGATTTGGAGTTGAAGAGAATGTATGGGAACTGGGCTGCAGAATGGAGACAGTGGGGATACTGGGATAGAGAGAGTAAATGGGGTCCAAGGGGCATGAGCATGGGGTTATAGGGCCAAAGGAGTAAAGGACATCATATACAGAAGCCACTGGGGAAGCTATAGCCTGGGGGAAAGCCCAAAGTCTGTGTGGAGCCCATCTATATGGAGTTGGCCACTTCTAAATACCGGGGATGCCAAGTGCCAAAAAAATGTATACAAGTGGACACTGGTCAACGTTGCTCAACACTTTGGTTTGCTGTAATCAGAAGTGTCTGGACACTGATGGTAACCACTTTGAGCACCTATTGTAATTGCAGAAGTCAAACGTGACTTGTATTCATCTTTTGCTATCGGCATACTCATATATTGAGTATTACAATTTTAATAGCTTTTTTTTTCCTTTCTTAAAATGTGTATACATTTTTTGGCACCCTCTGTAGAGACTCCTGTCTTTTATTTATTTTTATTTTTAATTACAGTTGACATTCAATGTTATATTAGTTCCAGGTCTATAGCATAGTGGTTAGACATTTATATAATTTACAAAGTGATCCTCCCAATAAATGTAGTACCCACCTGGCACTATGCATAATTATAACCATATTATTGACTATATTTCTTATGCTGTACTTTACATCCCCATGACTGTTTTGTAACTACCAATTTGTATTTCTTAATCCCTTCACCTTTTTATCCAGCTCCCCAACCCCTCTTCCATCTAGCAACCATTAGTTTGTTCTATGTATCTGTGAGTCTGTTTCTGTTTCGTTTGTTCGTTTTCTTCTTTAGATTCCATGTATAAGTGAAATCATATGGTATTTGTCTTTCTCTGTCTGACTTATTTCACTCAGCATAATAACCTCTAGGTCCATTCATGTTGTCACAAATGGTAAGAGTTCATTCTTTTTTATGGCCGAGTACTATTCCATTGTATATAGTATGTAACACCTCTTCTTTATCCAGTGGCCTGTTGATGGGAATTTCATATCATTGCTTCCATATCTTGGCTATTGTAAATAATGCTGCAGTGAACATAGGGAAGCATATATCTTTTTGAATTAGTGTTTTGGATCTCCTTTCCTTACTCTTTCCCTTAGTGAACTCTGGCTGCAAATAGCCTCTAGGTATTGGGAGAGCTCATCACATGCATGTACTCCTTCCAGCCCCAGGAAAAATGCCTGAGCAGTTTTCCATTTTAAATACTTACACAGGCTCCCTAGCTTTGGGAAAAGAAGGAAATTAACCATTTATTGAGACTTCACTCTATGTCAATCTCCATCATATATATCGTCTTCCTTAAACATACCTCACTGACCTGTGAGTCCTGTTGTTTTGGACCTGCACTGGGTAGTATGGCCTGGGAAGCATTGTCTCAGATTTCAAGGTGAAAAGTATGGCAGGGCAAGTAGTCAGTGTTGAATCCTTTCTCCCTGTACCACCACCACTATCCCTCTCCCTACTCCACCCCTGAATTCCTCTTGTCTCATGCATGTCTCTTCACCGTAAGACATATATAACCTTATGACATTTCGGGGATTTTTGGGCAGGAGATGCTCTTAATAAGACATCCCACACTAGGTAGGTGCAAACATGCCATACCTCCAGTGAGTTCCATGATCAGCTTGCTGGATTTCCTCTTTTTGTTGGGGGCTGGGGTTCCTGAGAGCGGCATTGTGCAGGTGGATTCAGCCTGGATAGGGCAGGAAGAGGGAGTTGGAAGATGGACAGGGATTGGGAATTGCGAGTGTCTACATTGAGGCAGCACTACTTAACCTGGGGTGAAGGCCTTCAGGGAACAAAATTCATCAGATTTTCAAAGAAATATATATTCCCTCAGTGAAAACCCGCTGCTTTAGGGCTTTTCTTTTCTTTGGAGGCAGAGCAGAAACTATCAACCACTTTGCAGCTGTTTTACAAAGAGCTGTGCATTGATTAGGAACAGAGTGTGTTGGTGGGCAGGGGGTAAAACAAACAAATAACACACAGGCAGGGCAATGCACCCAGGTTTCACTGGCATGATTTGAAGTTTTTATTTGCATGGGGATCTCAGATTGGGGCTGTCATTCCAAGCTCTGATCTCTCCTCAGTCTTCCCCAACCCCCAGGGGGGCAGAAAAATGTTCTGCCAGGGTCGAGGAGATCCAGCCAAAAACAGCCTCCATAGGAAGGAGAGGTTGTTGCTCTTCCATTGGGCCAGCTGGAACGTGGCCTGGAGGTCACAGCAGTGCTCCCTGCTCCCTTTCAGTCACTCCTGCCCCAGACCCCAGAACTGGAGCTCAGGGCCGGTGTCAGGGGACATTTGAACTTTGATGCATGTCAACTCAGCAATATCATAGCAGCGGGGAATTGAGGGAGGACAGGAACATAATAATAATATCTGGCAGTGGAGGGGGACAAGCTGGGAAAAGACATACTCCAGCTCCGCCTTAACAGAAGTTGGCACTCAGCAAAAATGCTGTCTTCTGCTGAGTCTTGTCTCACAACACATCTGCAGTTCTACAAACTTAGCGAGGTCTGCTGAGGCCAGAGTCCAGGACCTGTTAAATGGACTTTCCCTGAACCTCTCAGCCTCAACCTGGTTTTTTTTTTTTCCATCCAGCCTCTTAGATCTCCTTCTCACTTCTCCAGTGCTTCCCCCAATCTCTCTCTTCCCCCACCCTCCTGGGCCCCTCTCCTTCAAACTCTCTGCAGCTCCCCTGAACTGAACAGCTGGGAGCTGAGCACAGATGGGGGAGGGGGGCAACTATCCCAAGATTAAGGGTCACTGTTGTACATACAGACACAGCAGTCAACAGAATGGGCCCCTGCGCCTCTGGTCACAGAGTTGGAGACTTACCGGCTGCTAAGGCGGTGGTCAGCTCTCCCTGGGGTCCAGCAGCTTTGGAGGACTGAGCTACTGTGACCGAAGAACCCAAGCTGGGCAGGCGGGGGCAGCACTGGCAGTGGGGGAGGGAGGGTGGTTATTAATAGAGATGATGAGCACAGCTCAAATGGCACAGGGGGTACTGAGACCCTGGAACCAAGATCCCGCCCTCCTTGCCCAGAGGCTCAGGAACAGAGGAAAGGGCTTTTGGGATTCTCTCACTAAGCTGTCTGAACCAGGGACTTCCTGTTCCCTGGCACCTTGGTCTGAGATCCAGAGAAGCATTCAGGGAGAAATTGAAAACTGAGAGGGAAAGAGGAGGCAGGCAGCAAGGAGGAGATAGAAACTCAGAGTGGGAGAGCAAGAACCTGGAGAACACGTCCCAAGAGCCACTCAGAGCCAATCCAGGCCACAGCAGGAGAGACATGTGGGTGCATTTTGGGGTGGGAGGGCTTAAGGTGCTATGTTTGGAGAAGCAAAGTCTGTTCACAATGAAACTACTCTTTGAAAGTTCCTGGATGGTTTGGTCTTTCCTCTGGGAGGGCCAGATCTCGGCAGCTTTAAGGGACCAAATTAACCAAACCCAGTGCCTCCTAGGCTGTAAGGGAAAATTTGGGGAACTTGACCAGTTTCTGCCTTTTCACCCCCACCTGCTGTTGGGGTGCTCAGTTCAGCCTACTCTGCCAGACAGCTGTTGACTTCTCCCCGAGCAGCGCATGAAGGCTTCTGACCTACCAAGGCCTCACTCTCTGAGATTCCTATTTGGGGTTTTCTTCCAAGGGAACACACACCCCATAGGATGTGGACTGTCCCATTTGCATTGCTCCAGAGGAGCCTCTGGGCAGGGGCACTAGCTTGAGAGACCCCTATGATAAGCGTGTCATTTACCCAGCCCCTTCCTCAGTAGCCCCATGAGCACCCTAGACTCCCCTCTACCTTCTGCTCAGGCTCTAGAACCAGCTGCTGCTGCACATCTGCTGCAGCCACCACCACCCTGTTGTGGCTGCTTTAGGAAGCAGTGTTTGTAGTTCCCAGAATACCCCTCTGTCCATCTGTGAGCTTTTCATTCTTCCTAACCCTGCCCTTTTGCCCATCCTGAACTTTTCAGGTTCAAGCTAGGGGCTGAAAGGGCTCCCTGCCCTCCAGTTGGCTTCTTTTCAGACCAGTTGAGCATCTAGATCCCTCAACTTTTGTCCTCTTCCATTTCCTCCCAACCCAAAGAAGCAATTAGAGGAAAAAACATAAATAGCAAATGGTGATTTCATCATCACTATCATCCCTGCCTGCTTCCCACCCCATTACCACCCCCCAAAAAATAACCACCAAAATTTTGGTCTCCTGTGATTGAGTCCCTAAAACTACCAAGTGGGTGAAGACATAATATTTAGCATGTGCTTTCTGGGTCCTCCCTTTGGAATTCTGAGACTGGGTACTTTGGGAGCATTTGGGTCCTGCGCCTGGTTATTGGCACACATGTGCCCCCTGCTGGTAAACCTTGAGTAATGGCACTTTCCTTCTCACAAGTCCAATTCTAGTCTGTCTCCAGTGCCTTCTCTTTTTTTTTATTAGTCCACACTATCCACCCTCTCTGTAGTTCTTCTCTCTCCCATCCCACCTTCACCGCCAGCCATTGTTTTCCCATGGAAACATGGGTTCCCAAAAGGGAGCTAGGGAATTTTGGTGGCAAAAGGCTCAGAAGGCCTTACCAATTTATCTTTGTTCTGTAAACTGAGGCCTAGTTCGGGAACTATGGAGCAGGGGATTGAAAGAGGGAAAATCTGAATGGGGAATGGAGAGAGAGGGAACCAAGGGGAGTGGTGGAAGTGGCTAAATAGGAGTGGGACAGAATTGGTAGAGAAGACCAAGAGACCAAGGGGTAAAGGGCAAAAGGGTGAAAAACAAGAGGACAGGAATGGAGAAAGAGATCAGGAATCAGGAGATCAGGAGAATGAGTTAGAGAAGATCAAGGGGAGATCAGAATTTGTGTATAAACCTAGAAGAGATGACAGCAACAGAAGTTATGGGGTATACATTTATTCTTGTGCATAAACAAAAGAACTGTGACTCACACCTAATATGCAAATGAAATGACCAATTTCCAGATCAAGCAGCAAACGTGACCCATGGTAGTCATGGTGAGAGGGGAGTCCATAACACTCTGGGATTAAAAATGAGGACCTGAAGCTGGAAATGAACAAGAGCTAGGTTTTGAGGGATAGGTTAGGACTGAAAAGAGGTTTGGCTCTGGGTGTTTCCTTGCCCTTTCCCAGGTTGTCTGGACAAGCTGCAGAAGACAGAGGGACAGACTCAAAGCAAGTAGCACAGATACCAACTGTTCTTTCATCACTCAGAACACACTCTCATATCTTCCCCCCATCTTCCCCTTCACTCTAATAAATATATTCTTCTCCCTCATTTCCCCCAATCCCCTTCTTATATACGGTTGGTTTCCTGTTACCTAAATTTATTCTCTGCTGACACTCCATTCTCATTCTCCCTCACCATGCCCCTCTTCGTGGCTCAATCAATTACATTCATTTCTGCTCTGCTCCTGGCTCCGCCTCACTTGCCACACCACGGTTCTTTCCTTTCTCCTGTCTTATGTGCATGAGGCAACGAAGCCAATGATTTGGTCATTCTCAGAGGATATTTTCTTTCTTTTTGCTCACTTCCTGGGTGCTTGTTGCTCAGCACGGGCCTCTCAAGTTGCTCACTTGCTGAAACCCTGAGGAATTCTTAGTTCTATTCCTGGTCTAGCTGGTATAACTCAGTCCATAAAACTACCTGGCCCTCCAAGTCTTCTCATATGCCATGAGTTTCACAAGATGCTATATACCAGCTGCAGACACTGGTCTTTAGCTCTATTGAATCCTTTCCCCCCACTAGACTATCCATGTAGGGATATCTGACCCTCCTTTATTACCGCAAATGTAAGACCCACATTGGGTCTTCAAATCTCTCCTCTTACTCTTACCTCAGACAGAAGAGCACATATATGCACACACACTTGCACATACACATGCACACATACACACCTAGGTATATGCCAGCCAAGCTTGGGAAAGAATAGAAGTGGCAAGTGACTTAGTGCAGACAAAAGTCAATTCAGCTCCTTTGCTGCCTGCCTGCCTGGTGGTGAGCTTCCTGCTTGAGGTCTCAGTGGTAATTTCTCTGTGTGCTTTTCATTGAACATGAAAATGAGACCCACAGAGAAAAGCACAAAGGTAGAGAAATTGAGACCAGTGGGGGAATATGGATGGAGAGATCTAGAGATAAAGACAGAGATCCTGCCCAGCAAGGAGCTACACAGACAAAGAGGAGCGCAGATACTAAAGCACAGATATTAGGTTGGAAAGCAGCAGGGAGGTTGGGAGCCAGGAAGAAGCAACGGAGGGATATCAACTCCAAAACTATCTCTGGCAGGAGGGAAGTTAGCCTCCAGATGCCTGAGGGGGTGGATTGGGTAGAAGCAACTTTAGGAACTAGATGTTCCACCTCTCCTTGGTCCTGGGAGCTCAGTGGTGGCCTGCCCCAGGCCTCCACACATGAGCCTGCAATCCTGTTCTGGTGGCTGAAAACCGAGGCCTGGCTACCTGGAAGCCACAGGAGCTAGCGGAGGCCCCAAGACTCCTGGGAGACTCTGGAGGAGGGGCGGGGCTAAGGACAGAGGCTGAGGCCAGCTCTGCCCTCCAGATGGGTTCATCCAATGTAGTGGCTGCTCTGGGGGCAAGCACAGTGGGGGCCAAGGGCTCTGCAGTGGGCTGAGGTGCTGGAGTGGAAAATCGCCGGATCTCCTGGACTCGGGCAGTTTTGGGGGGCCCTGAGGATGTGGGGCCAGGAGTCTGGGGAACCTCATCAAAACAGAACATGGCAGTTTTAAGTTGGTAGGGCTGGTGCCGCATGAAATCCAGAACCTTGATGCCCTGCTGCTTGGGGGTTGCCCGAGGCCCCTGGGATTGGGCCTTATTAGGGAGAGTTCGGGCAGCTTGGGGAAAAAAGGGTGAGAGCAAAGGATTATATGCTATAGGAGGTGGGGCTCGGATGTTGGGTGAATATTTCCAGGAAGGGGGCAGTGAGGGAGTAGGAGAAGGGCTTCGGGGCAGAGGGCCAAGGCCAGGACTAGGTGTAGCTTCCACCACATACCTGTCTGCGCGGCTCTGCCGCTTGGCAAACAGCTCCCCACCCCTGCCCTGAAGCCTTGGTTGCTCAGGGATTCCAACAGAAGGGGCAGCTCCATTCACTAGCCCATCAGCGAACCCTCGAGATGGGGGTTTAGGAGCCACTGGGGGTGGAGTCTTAGGAGTCATAGGGGGCGGGGTCTTGGGAACCATTGGAGGCGGGGTTTTAGGTGTCACGTGAGCTGGGGTCTTGTAACTCCTGCCCCCTGGTGGCTGCATGAAGTTGCAGGCTTCAGCACCGAGGCTCAGAGCATCCTCCTCTGGACCAGATTCAGCACCCCCTGCCCGGGGTTTTTCATCCAGGTTCTGCACCAGCGATAACAGCTCCGGGTTGGGCGAGTTTTTCGTCTCCTCGTTTCCCGGACGGAACATCTGCTTCCGGGTCCCCCGACGCCGGGCCTCCTGTAGGATGCCGGTGCGAGCAGCTGGCACAGAGATGCGCTGCTCTCGAGCGCTGGGGAGCTCAGGGACCGCGGGGCCTGTGGCGGGCGCCTCTGGATGCGCAGCGGGTCGCAGAGGCGCCGATAGGAAGATAGAAGCGGTGGAGGTCATGGCAGCTGCGCTAGGGAGAGCAGGGGGCTCAGGGGCTCCGCCTGGTGTAACAGGACGATTCGGGGCTGGGATATACAGGGAACTGGTGGCCGTCACGGGGCCTGAAGAGCGTGGGGTGCTGGGGGAACTGGAGGCTGGCATGTGGCTGGGAACCCCTGAGGTGAAGCTGGGCTGAGGGGTGGGCCCCTGAGGAGAGGACAAGAAAGGCGGTGGGACTGGACTGAGGCCTCCCAGGCTTTCATTTGCTCTCTTGGGGGCCAGGGGCCGGAAAATAACCGAGGTGGTACCTGGCCTCTGACCTTGTAAGCCCGGGGTAAAGGGCCTGGCTGACCGGTTAAAGATGCTTGGAGCTGGGGTAGGCACTCCACCGCCTAGGAGTAAGGGTCTGGAGCTGGTTATAGGGGCCGGTGAAGGGCTGGATGGGAGCACAACCGCCTCCGGAGGAGCACTCTGGGCCCGAGGTGGTGACTGCAGGCCCTTCCCGTTGAGCATGGCTGCTGGACCATCCTGGGCCAGCTCCTGGGTGCTGGAGGCTGTGCGCTGGCGCTGCTGTTCAAAGAGCTGGACCCCTCGCCCGGAGGCCTCACTGAGCTGCCCTCCCAGGCCTGGGCCTGGACCCTCTGCTGCACTTGAGCCTGGCCTGGCCAGCTCCATGTCCAAATAGGGGCTGTCCCAGTCGGACTGGTTGGTGAGGCTGCGGGCGTCGGAAAAGGCCTCCTCGTCCAGCTCAGACTCACTGGTCGGAGGGACCCCGTCTTCTTCCTCCACAGTGCCTGTCCCAGCCACAGCCCCAAAGCTCACGAGGGTGTATTTCTTGGCTCTCTGGCGTCTTTTCTTAAACATCAGCACCCCCTTGGAGTGGGGATTGGGGGCTGCAGTCAGCAGGGATGCAATCGTCCGGCATTTGGTTTTGGCCTCCTTCACACTCTTCTCTTGGAGGCTCTCTGCCCGTTGCAGTTCTGAGGAGGCCAGGAGGGAGAATGGTCAGTCAGTGAATGCCTCACATCCCTGCTACTCACAGCCAGGGAGAGCCTCTTCTATTCCTATACCCCGAGGCTTTCATCTCCACCCCAGCCAGCTCCCTCAGCTCTCCCACCTCCTGTCTTTTCACTGGCCTGACCCACAATGTCTCCTGCCTGTGGCAGAGTCCTCTGACTTGGGGGCAGAGTGGAGGATGAAAGGTGAAACCAAGGGCAGTTGAAGGGAAGGCAGAGTCAAGTTGGCTGCCCTGACACCACTCTGACCACAGCTCTCCTATCCTCCCTCTGCTCTGCTCCTATCTTCCTGGAGATGTGTTCTTACCCACTCCACACACATTCCTCCCCTGCCTCCCTCCAGTCCCAGCTGGCAATGCAGGGGTGGGGCTGAGCGGGGTTCACTTCCCCGGCAGAAAGATGAGACAGGTCCTAGGGCGAGAAAAGATGAGAAGGGACACTTTTCTCCCACCATAGAGACCACAGTAGGGTGCTTCTCAGAGAGTTTGGGACAAATCCCCTTACCTCTATGGTAAGGACACAAAGGACCCCTTAGCAACAAGGGTCTTCATTCATAATCCCACCCCTACCATGCAGTCCACATCATACACTCATACACACACATCATTTCAACAAGAATTTGGGTCTAGTAAAAGCCAGTTGTGGGCATATTTTCTCATGTACTTGCACTTTCATTTGCAGAGACCCCAGCTTATATACATTCCAGTTCACACATGTATGTAAATACATATATGCCCACACAAAAACACATAGAGTAGCTTGAATATATTCACACACATGCATACTCCAGATGGCCCTTCGTCCAGGTTCCCCCTGCAGAGACCCTTTTACTAACAGTTTGAACAACACTTTAGAGCTGATATAAACTGCCAGGGCACACCTCCACGCCTCACACCCCTGCTACTCACAGCCAGGGAGAGCCTCAGATCCCAAATGCAGGAAGGCAACCCTCCAAATCTTTAGGATACTTCAAAGTGACCAGCTAAATATATTCACCTTTTCCCCCAGCTGGCAGTGGAAGCGGGGTGGTCTTCTTTAGAGGTCAGCCTTCGAAGAGGTAGCAAGCCCTGGCAGCCACGACCAGGCCAGCACAAGAGGACTATGTATTAAAGGGGAGCAGGGCAGGGCTTCTCATGCCATGTGGGGCCTGGGAGGTGGGGCCAGGAAGTAGGAGTGGCTGCCTGCTGCTGGGACCTGGCCTTGGACATGGATACTCTGATCCATGATCCCCAGTTTCTCCTGAAAAATTCTTGAAATTCCATCTACTTTCCACTCAAGATACCAAGCTGTTTGCTAATTGGGGCTCTCCTTCCGCCCATCCCAATGTTTAGACCACAAAATAGAACTGAACGAGAGACAGGCTCTGGAGTCAGAGTTCGGTTTAGGTTTTTGATTCATGGAAGAGTTACTTCACTGAAGTTCAGTTTCCTCATCTGTAAATGAGAATGATAATAGCTACCTCATAGGGTTGCTATGAGGATTAAGTGAGATAATGTAGATAAATTTAGCATTTCACAGCAGCCCTAAGTCCCACTATGAGTAACCATTACTATCAAAGTTTTCTTGACACTAACTACACATGTACACAAACACTTCCTTGTTCACACATATTGTCTCCCACAGACTCCCACATACAGGCCTTAATGTATTCATAGATTATTCACTACCTCTCTCTCGCATACACCCTCTCCCCATAAGTTTTCTATAACTCATATGGTCACAAACCTCTTTGACATGTGACCGTAGCATCAGCCCATTCTGAGAAAGAGGCCATGAAACTTTCCTTAGAAAAGGAAGAGGAAGGCAAAAAGAAGAAAGAGATAAGGGAGTAACACCTTTCCCAAAGACCTCCCTTGCTAAACTTTTTATATACTCCCCTCCATTCTAGGTCCCAGAACTCTCTTGGCTATGGGAATGTAGTACCTGCATAGAATGGGTCCTGGAGTTCAGGAACTGGGCCTGAGGCTTTGTCGAAGCTTGGTTGGCTGAGGGACTCTTGGCTGATGGACTCAAAGGTCTCCATGCCGGGAACAGCAGTGTTGGCTGGAGCAGGACCAGCTTGAGCCACCCCCCATGCCTTTTAAAGCCCCTTTGTCTTCTCCCCAGAGCTGGCAGCTGAATGAGCTCACTATGCTATTTTTGGAGCCTGGCCCTCTCTCTTCTCTTGCCTGCCTGCTCCACAAGCCCCAGTGTGACGGACATGGGCACCTGCCTTCCCACCCCCCACCCCCCACCCCACTGGACAGTGAGGTCTGCCTGACTAAAAATATCCCTAAGCCACTAACTACAGTCTCATCCAGCATGATGGGAAGGGAGAGGGGGCTAAACTGAGAATTGGGGATAGGCATGGGATCCTGGGCATGCAACTGGAATTTCTTTGTGGTATACTGGATGGTCTCAGGGATGTCAGACTCTAAACTGTCATGTCTTTAGCCTCTAATCCAGACTTAGAGACAAAATTCTATGGCTCAGGAATCAGAATGGTGGAGGGGAGGAACAAGAGATGAGAACTAGAGGGGTAATCCTGAGATTTCCAAGGTGACAAGAAAGGTTTCTGGGGGAGAGGCATAGGGCAGGGAGAAAGTTCACTCTTAGACCTTGTTCTGTAGCTCACATCAAAAATAGCAGAGAGCTTGAGATAAGTGGAACTGGCTTTTTCTCTCCAGGCCCACATTCTTGCCTGAGATAAGGAGCTGAATATCCCTCCCCCTACCACTTCCTAGGGACTCATGAGTATCCCATAGCCTCCCAGGCCCCAGGAACCCTAACTGAACTTACAAATGTCAAAGGTGGCTCTGATTCCCTGCCTGCAATTAACCGCCCTGCCCTGCTTCCAAATACTCCCCTGCCCTATGTCTGACACCTTGCAAAATTATAGCAACAACAGCAAACAAACCCTTCATTGATTCATGTCCCTTTCCAACTTCCCTGCTTACCCTGTTCCTGGGTTAGGTTGAACCACCTGTACCTTTGTGCCATACTAGTTCAAACAGCAGAAATAATGGGGACCATGAGATTAATTATCTTCCCCTCCCACTCTTCTCCACTTGTCCCCAAGACTATATCCAAGAGAAGTATAAGGTATGGTTATGAAGGGTAGATTAAGGACTCAGATTGAAAGATATTGGCTAAGGGTAAAGGGTTCAGGCACTCACTGGCTTGCTTGGCCTTCTGGGTGTAGGTGGTAGTAAGATCTTCTGCCACTGGGTGGGGAACAGGCCCCACCATAGGGATGAGATGAGGGCCAGGCCGGAGGGGGCCATGGGGCAGCAGCAAGGCCTCGGCGGGTGGTGGCTGAAGGGTTGCCCCATCCTCCCAAGATGGGGAGCTCACACGGCTGTCACCCTGGCTGGAAGGACCAGGGACAGCAGGTGCCGGCTCTGCAGGGCTGTCAGACAGGTAGACCTCATCAGGTGGGGCTCCTGGAGGGGTGGGCCTTGTGGGGCCTCGGCGGCGGGGTCGGCGGTGCTTCTCCTGGGTGGCAGGGCCATCAGCATCACTGTCTGTCTCTCCATAGTAAGCTTCACTGTCTGGGGGTGAAAGGAGGTTTCCAGGCTGAAGAGGCTGGGGAACTGGAGCACCAGGGGGCTCAGGACTCAGCGGAGATAAGGGTGACAGCACCTGAAGCTCGCCAGGGGATGGAGATCGCAAAGGCACTTCGTCCTCCACCCTGGGTGGGAGAGATGACAGAAATTGAGAAATGGGCTGGATGACTGACAGCTAGAGAGATCTGAAGGGGATGGGAGAGGGAGAAAGAGATAAGGGGAGAGAAGGGACTGGCATATAGGAGGAATGGCTGGGCTGAGAAGAGTGACGATCTGAAGACAAACTGGGAGGCAAATGTGCTTAGAGGGCTCTGAGTAGAAATGAACTCACTGGAAGATGTGATGATGAGTCAGGCAAGGGATTGAAGGAGGCCCACATACTCAGATACCCACTACCCACTTGACACCTCCATCCCTTATTTACAGATACATTCAAGCCCTTTAGGAGGCCTACACTAACATCTATACTCCAGCACTAATGCACAAGCAGAAATGGGTCCTTGTTAAGTTGCTGAAGCCAGGCCCGTGTGACACAGGGCTGTCAGGCAAGGGGAGCCCTGAACTAGGGGAAACATGGGTGGGTGGGGTAGGAAGAGTCCATACCTCCGCACAGTGAGGACAAGTTGATTCCCTGAGGCATCAATGAGGCTCATGGCACTGGCATGAGAGAGGCTGGTACAGGAGACTCCATTAATGGCTAAAAGCTGGTCCCTCTCTCGGAGTCCTGCTCTGCCAGCTTGGCTCCGTCTTCGGATCTGAGAAGGTGTTGGAGGAGAGACTGTAGGTGAGAGAGGTCCTCCAAGGGGGAATAGAATGAAAGGAGTTAGGAGAAGAAGGACCCATGTATGGGAGGGATTTTACTCTGCAAGGTAAGAAAGAGTGGAGAGGGGCATGGGGCTGCAGTTACGTGGGCCTATCTAGAGGGAAGAAGATACGGAGTGCAGGGAGTTATACATTATATAAGAGGAAGTAGGGTAATCACCAAATGAGAGGCTTGGGAAAAGCTGCAGCAGGGAGCTACTAGAATGGTGGTTTTCCAAGATTTTCCTCCAACGGCAATGTCTATATGAGCCAATAGTTCTCTCCTAGGCCTTGGAATCCCAGGCACTATTATCTATAGTCGAGTCTTTAGAACAGTATTCCAGATTGGAGGAAGTCCAGCAGATTCTGGGAGACGGTGACTATGTGTATATATGTGTGCCATGGTGGATATCACTTAATGAGTGCTTACTAAATGTTAAGTATGGTGCTGAGCATTCTACATGTATTAGTGCATTTTATCCTTAGAATGGTTCTATGAGGTAGGTAATATTATCACCCACATTGTATAACTGAGAAATTCAGCCTGTACGGTGAACCCAAAAGGGTAACAACTCCCTCTGACAGGCCAGGTCTTGCCATAACCCTCCTCGCACCAAAAAAAGAGTCCTGCCTTGTGAGAAAGGATCTGACATAGGGAAAGAAGAGCACTGAAGGCATGAGCAGGGCAGGGCTGGGCAGGGCTGGGCTGGGCTGGGCTGGGCGAGACAAACTCGGCTCATCACATATCAGCTTAGTCAGAAATTAGAACCTTCCCTACATTCCTGGAGTTTGGAGTAGAGGCGGCACAGACCCAAGGGAGCAAAGGCTGGCCAGCCAGGCCTGGGCCTCTGCTACTGTGGTGCCACTGGGAACTGAGACGCTTTTTCTCTATCAGAAACCAGGAATCCCTTTTCTAATAGCCTCCCCCCTCCTCACAAGGAGCCTGCTCTCAGACACCACTCCCCCCACCAAACATGAACATGCTTCCCTGCCCACCTATCCACCCCCACTCCTCTTCTTCACAGCCTCCCATTTCAGCCCCATAGGTCACCACATGACTCTTCCCAGGTACCCTTGGGTTCCCCCTTTCCCTGAAACCTCAATATAGGGGCTCTCCCTTACCTTGGACACCTGTAAGGGTTTCTTCTGCTCGGCCCCCCCCTGAAGTCGGAAGCCCCAGGGGGCTCCCCCTGACAGTGTGACCAGCACCTCCTCCTCAGCACCCATCGCTCAGCTTGGCCTATGGCCCTTGGAGTTTGGACAGTGTCCTAGGGAGAGAAGTCGAGGTGCTGGTACCCCGTCCGGCCTGTCTGGCTGTCCTATTCCTGCTGTCCCAGGCCTCCCCCCCACACACACACACCACACACCACAGGCAGGCAACTTGGCCCTGGGATCAGTACAGTCCAGGACACGTGTCCTGTCAATCGGAGTTGTGCTCAAAATAGTTGCCGGCTGTACTCCTCTCCCTCCCCCTGCTATCTTACTCCCAGAGCTAATTATAGTAAAAACTCTGTCCTCTCCTGTCCCCCATTCTCCTGCATGGGCCTTTCACTCAGGACTCAGAGTACTAGCTTTCTGGGCTCTATAACTCATGTGCACTCTTTCAGGGACTGTGCCTCCGTGATAGGATCATGGACTAATTCCAACTGCTTTCCTCCAAAGCTCATTTCAAAGTGGCAGCATCAGGGACTTTCATTCCAGAGCGAGGGATGGCTGGGTTTGTTCCCTAAGTGCAAGCTCCCCATAAAAGAGTGCCCCCTTTCCGTATGAATTTACCTATTAATCAAAATGGAGATCTTTATCCCATTGCAGTGCTGGGTACAATGTAGAGGAATTCTGATTGGCCCTGCCCCAACTGAACTGTTGCCTCTTGCATAAAGCCTTTCCTGCCCATCTCCTGACTCCCTGCCTATTCAATAGGGCTTCCTTCCTCTAGGCAACAGATGTATCAACATATTTCTATTGTTGTATTTTTCAGGCATTATAGTTTGTTTATATGGCTGATGCAAATAGCGCTCAATAAATGTTTGCTGAATTACTTCTTACAATACATAGGTGGTCATGGAAAGGTGAAATAGATAGGTGTGTATAAACATTCCAACCCATGTTAAAAATAAAATCCCTAATTATTTTTAGGTTTCCATTACATGAATGTGCCCTATGTTAAGAGATCTCTTTGTTATAAAACATAACATTATGGTGCTGTAATTGTAATTATCAAAGGCTACAGTTTCCTGGAATAGCTGTTCTGCTAGTGTGCCAAATGCTATCAGCCTTAGTGTATGATGTAGTCATAGAAAACACTTGGGATATAGAGTCAGAACTGAACTTGGATTCTCGTTCCATCATTTATTAGCTGTGTGACCTTGGGTAGTTACTTGACCTCATTAGTAAAGAGTATCTAAATATCCATTCATTCGCTATTCAAACATTTATTGAGTGCTAGCTACATGTGAGCCATTGTGCTATACCAGTGGTTTTCAATTAACCCTCAGTGCACATTAGAATCACCTGGAAAGTTTTAAAGCTACTGGTTCCCTAAAATAAGACAGCATATAGGATTAGATGAGTATGTAATGAAATAATCTATAAATAATCTATAATGTGTATCTATATATCTCTATATAACTATATTATATATATATTCTCTCTATATATACATATAGATAGATAGATAGATAGATAGATATAGATATAATGATTCTCAGGCTTCAGCCTTAGGGATTCTGATTTTATTGGTCTGGTACCTGGTATTCCCATTTTAAAAAGCACCACTGATGATTCTAATGTGCAGCAAAAACTGAGAACCAGAGTAGGGATACAGAAAGCAATAAAATGCAACAGATCAGGCTCTATCCTCAAGAAACTATGAATTTAGGCTCTACCACTTACTTGGAGTACAACCTTAAGCAAGACAGAGGAGCTATCAACTTTCCTATGCTAATATGAGTTAAATGGAATAAATTATGTGAAAATGCTTAGCAAAGGGCCCAGCCTAGGGCAGGCGCACACCAATGTTAACTGACTTTAGCAAATTACTAACCTAGACTAGTGGGTCTTAATGTTCAGTGTGCAAAAGGAATCATTTGGAGGGTCTATTAAATCATAATTTGATGGACCCCACTTCCAGAGTTTCTGATTCAGTATGTCTCGGGTGGGTCTGAAATTTCTAACAGGTTCTCTGGTGGTACTGATACCGTTGACCCCAGGATCACACTTTGAGAATCACTGACCTTGACTCCTGAGGACAGGAACAATCTGCCCATTTACTAAAGCATACATAAATGCCTAATACAGTTTCCAGCAGAGACTACAAGTGCAATTTTTTTTTTAATTGGGGAATGGGGGAGGGGAACAGCATTGGGGAATTGGGGGAGGGGAACAGACAAGTTGCTGTCCTTTTATTCTTCAGTCTAGTTGTGGAGGATGTCGCTTCACTAACCCATGTTGGTATTATCATTGCGCTCTTCCCGGATGAAGCAGATCAGTCACTGGCCATTTGATGGCCGCTCACAGCGGCTCTTGGCAGCTCACGCTGGCTGCCGGCCACGGTAGCTTATGGCAGCCCACTGCAGCAGGGAATGCAGCCTACTTCGGCAACTCATGGCAGCCCAGCTCCAGGTTGAGCTGCTGCTCACCATCTTAGCTGTAGAGGGCAGTGTAACGGCCCTCATGTGGGATCTGAACTGGGGCCCTGTTGCTCAGAGCTGGTGTTTCAAGCCAGCTCTTAACCAACACGCCACTTGGCCGGCCCACAATTTTTTTAATGAATGAAGTACTCTGTGCCTCAGCATAATTAATATTTACTGTCAACAATAAGAGAGCAGGAACTTTTTTCATTACTGTAGTCCCATAACCAAAAACATGGCTTGGCACAAAGATAATTATTAAATGAATAAATATATAAAAAAGGATTAAATGAAGTCATGTATATATTTTAAAATCCTACAAAAATTAGCTACAATTATTGTTATTCAATAAGGGTAGTAATAATTACTCCAGAAACTGTGGCTCTTCCATATATGCTGGGGGCATTCTGAGAACAGAGATCATCCGGCTCTGGCATAGGTCTGCATCTAAACCAGGCGCTGTATAAAAATGGTTAACTGATAACAGCTGACCTTTACTGAGCGCTTACTATGGTGCCAGGCAATCTATGTGACTTGTCTACATCCATCCATAAGGGCATTTAGTATTCTCTCCATTTTACAGATGACAGAATTGAGGCAGAGATTAAGTTCCCAAGCTAGAGAACTACAGAGCCACAACTGGAACATGTGAAGCCCGAAAGCACAGTTAATCCCCTTTACCATCATACGTTCCGCAAATCTCATAAACTGCAAAGGTCGTGGGTGAGTACAATCTCGAAGACGGAAATCAATGGGGTCAGGGGTCAGCAGGAAGTGGCTACGGGACTCTAGGTCAGAGGTCACTAACCTGTCATAGGCGGATTGAGGGGTCATTACTAAAGATAGTTTGACCTAGCCTTCACAATCGCATTTTAGCTGGTTGGACCATAAACTGACTAGGACATCTGGGGTAGCCGGGAGGGGAAGCGGAAATGCATAAGAATCTACGAAGCCTCCCAGGGAGCGGCCATGATGGGAGCCGAAAGTGGCGCATGCGCAGCATCCGGGTTTCTGGGAATGTGCCTACTGTAGACGTGGCAGAAGGAGTGGCCCGGCCCTGGGGCGTGGGGGTGGAACTTCCGGGGGCGACGCGCCAGCCCCCTCGGAACCGGAAGTGGAGTCTGGGAGCCTTGACGTTAGGAACGAAGTCGAACCTGGATCTGGAGCCGGGTGAGGAGTGGCATCGGGAGGTTGGTGGGTAGGAAAGACGGGGCGAGGCCGGGGTATCACTAGCAAGATCGGGGTTCAGTCTGCGAAGGGAGGAGCCCGAAGGTGGGACCCGGTGAGAGACCCTCACCTTACGCATCCACCATCCAAGATCAGTCTTAGACCCTACCCTCCCTTCTGCCGGCCCAGATTCCGGCTCCCGCTTCCTGCCCCGAGACTGTTGAAGGGCGCAGGACGCTCGAGCTCCATGCTTAATGGATTAGCCCTCTGTCTCATCGTGGCCCAAGAAGCTGGCTTTGCTTCTCAGTCTCGATCCCCAGCGCTCCCAGCTTCCACAGCTCGACTACTTTCAGAGTTCTAGGAAGCTTGCCCCGCCCCCTGGGTTGTCACCCTCGAGTGTCCACACAGGATGGAATGGAAACTTGAGCCTGCACCAAACTGTTGTGTGTGTTTGGGGGAATTATTTCCTGGAGAAGAAGCTCTTTTCCTCTCACCCCCACCCCCATACTGACTTTAGGAAGATGAAGGGGAGGGGAACATCTGTTAAGCATAGTGTTGTGACCTGTGTAAGGTTTAGGATTTGGAAGAACAACGCCTGAGATGGCTTTGAGTCTAAAGAGTTCTAGTCCAGTAGCAGCTCAGTTTTTCTATAGTCTAGATGACCCTTCCTAGCAAAGGGGAGAGGCCCATTGTTCCACTGCAGCAGCTGTGAGATCTCCTGCTTCCTGGGCCCCTTCTGTCTATAGGATAGTTGGAATGATAAGGCTGTGTAGAGTAGATGTGAGTAGATAGTCCTGCTCTTGGAAGGACTCAGGAAAGGCCCTCTACTTAATTTCTCTGTTGCTGGGCAAAATTGTAATAATTTTGGTGGTGGCCTAGATTCATGACAAGTATATAAGGAGAGCAGAAACAGGAGAGTTGGAAGACTGCATTGGGATTTGGAATACTTATAGTCCCTCTGCTTGATGGATAAGGTGAATGATCTTTTTTCCATGAAATCTAACTTTGCTGCTGATCTTTGAACTGTTTCCCTTGGTTACTGTGAGAAGTTTTTTGTGCCTGGCCTGCACTCAGTTCTAATCTGGTAGCTTGCTAGAGTTTATGTGGCCTTTACATTTAATGATTTCAGTGCTTCAGTTTTAAGGTCCATACACTCTTTTGGTGGGAAGACTGGAGATGGAGTAGCATTTGGATTATTGCAGTTTAGCCAAAGAATGTTATTTCTCTAATTGGTTGTTCTAAAATTTGTCTTTTGAGGGGGAGGGAATTTACCTGCTGTGTTTTAGACATGTAGCCTGTGTGATTAAAAATGACTAGCACACTAGAGAGTATTCACTGTTTGTTGAATGAATGGATGCTGGAGTGAATGAATGGAAAGTGGGAACATTGTTTCATTTACCTGCAGTATCACAGTAGTTCATCAGTGGTAGGACTCCTTGTGTGTCTAGACACTAGAAATCATACCATTGGGGAGTGGAGGCTGCTGTTCCATTCCAGTGGGCCTATCTCAAGTTGAAATTTATACACTCTTGGCAGTGACAAAGCATGGGGTTCAGTAACAAAATCCTTA